TTTGTCATAATCATGTCTTGTGATTATTTGACAGGAGTTTTACTTTTAAAATGTAAGTGTATTTAATTTAGTTATGTTAGTAATGATAGTTTAGTTATGATGTAAATACAATACAAATTAAATCAAGATTTAGAATAATCATAATTTTGATCCATACATTAGTAATGTCTGACTGGGCCTCATGACACTTTACGTTCAACAAATTGGGCCCCGAGGTCAAAAAGGTTAAGAACTCCTGGTGGCTTATTTTGTGTCTGTCATAGTTAAAGGTGAGCTGTACCTGAAGGCTCCCTCTGGGACAGTACTCGGTGATAACGCACATGTTTGGTGGGTCGAGGCAGGCGCCGATGAAGCGAGTCAGATGCTCGTTGTGGACRTCTCGCATCTGCAGAAACAAGAGACGTAAATCGCACGAAAAGCCACAGATGCCCCGGGGGGGGTAGGAGTACTACACCTGAAATTAGATAGTCAAACGTCAACGCTCGCCAGGATCGCAYTCTTACATGTTTGAGCTCAAACAAAACCTTCCTCGTCAGCTCAATGCGTTTCTTGTTAATATACTTGATGGCTGAAAGATTGCCCTGAGGGAGGAACAACAATGAAAGGTTATCGTTTTACATCTCTCTACGATAACGCTGTAAGAGTGATTTAACACGGCGCGTCTCTCTCAAAGACCTTGTAGTATCCAGTTTTGGTGTAGATCTGAAAGTTTCCCTCCATGGTCATCAAGGAACCATAGTTGGATCCTTTCTGCAGACAAGCAGAGTCAGATTTAAATTGTTTTTCACAGCCAGGAGGATCCTTTCATCAGTAACGCCTTTTTGGGAGTTAAACTTRCAGCCAATAGGGAACAAATGGCTTTTTCCAGAATAGATCCAACAATCAGAAACCAAAAGTCTAAAATACAATTTTTTATTATTATTTTTTACCAGAGACATGGTCAGCCTGCTGCAGGTTCTCCGCATGGTTTTCTCCAAGTTGCTCATCTGGATGTCCTCCCAGGAGACTCTCCACAGCTGGGCAGCCAGTTCGCTCTCTAGCTTCAACTTCCTATTCAACAGACAGGAGGACAGGTGTGTGTGCGTGTGTTTGCAGTGTCAGTAATTTAGTGTGTGTTAAAAATAAAGAAGGGGGAAACACTGAGAGAGGGGACAGAGAGTTGAACAGAGAGAGAGGGAAATTAAGGACTTTAAGGAGACTGACTAGCTGTTAGCTCATCAGTTTGATGAAAAATGTAACTAGCTCTGCAGTTTCAGGCCCATTAATAAGCTTTATTTAATAGCGCACAAGACCTAACTATCACTAATCTGCCTTTTATGATCTTTTCTCCTTGTACTGTTTATTCGGTGGAAGTCTTTATGTGTTGCAAACACTATAAATCAACTCTGTTTTTTATCATTATTACTCTAAAGTTACCAGTTTGTTGTTGTTTTGACATAAAAACACAAACACCTAAAGCTTTTGCACCATATCTTTATTAATATTTAATATTCAAAAACAACAGGATATCYAAACACAAACTTTGTTCATGTTTTCCTCTATAAAAATCTCATCTCTCTCCAGACTTCAGCCACATTCAGCTCTCTTTGCTTAACTCAAATATCTGTAACTTATTTATATTCAGCACAAAATTAACAACAGATTACAGCTAATTCTTTTATATAAACATACAAGTCTGCTGTCGTAACCCATTAATATCACGGTTATTTAATGACTGCAACAATATATTTTTAATCTTGTGTGCAAATAGTAATGTCTGACTTACGTTTTAAAAAGTAACACAGTAAATGCATAATAATTTAACACATGCAGGTAAGTTTATACTGTGTTCAGTTTTCTTAGGATGAAACAGAAAACAGTCTGCTCCTTTTAAATTCTTTTTTTWAATTTTAAATATTAACTCTCCACCCCCTCATTCTGGGCCTCGCCGTGATCTCCCTATTTTTCGAACGGAAGAAAGGAAGAGGATGTGAAAAAAGAAGGGAAAGAAAGAGGGACAGGAAAGAGGAATGCAAATAAAATGGAGAAAGAGCGAGGAGCAAGCAAGAGAGAGAGTGAGAGAGAGAGAGAGAGAGAGAGAGAGAGAGAGAGA